TAAATTTGAAGTGTCACAAGTGATAAAAGTATTTTTTTCTAATGGTTGGTCACATAGATCTCTCGTATGCTGGCTGCCAAAGCTTCCCTTGCCATCCGTGTTGATGCTCTAGGTGAAGATACCACCGCAGAAATGGGTGTTGAAAACAAAGCAAAGCTGGAATCTAGGCTCAAGATGTTTGAAGAGGGACAGGTTTGTTTTTTTTTTTTTTGCGTTTATTGATGCGAACAATTTAACTTGGTTATTTTRGTAAAGGCTTCTTGTTTGAAGCATGTTAAATTATGTGTATCGTAATGCAAGGATATATAGCTATCTCAAAAATGGTTGTCGGATAAAATGGCGAATGTCAATGGTCGAACGGCGATTGCTCGACCGAAAGTAGCCATGAGTTTTGCCTGTTGAAAGGCAATAACAACTGATTTGTACTGTAAGATGGTCTGTTGTAAACATTGGCTCCATTTCGTCTCCATTTCTATGTAACGTGAATCCAATATGTGAGATTTTGTTTATCAAAACAGTGTCACCATAGTCCCTTTCGGTCGTGCAATCTCAATTCGATAATCGCCGTTCGCCGTTCTCCCAGACAACGTTTTTTGAAATAGCTGTATGTTTGGATTTCAGTTGAGGAAGATTAGCGGCAGTGGGAAATCCCAGGCAAAGTTTGATAAGTATGAAAATAAAAGGTAAGCAGAACAATTGTATTAATGAATGAAATTACAGGTTCAGTTTATTATTTCGTAGTAACATTTAATTATTACATGTAATGTTAACACTCGTCTAATGATATGTATTGACCGTTTTCCATGAGATCCAAAAGATAAAAAGATAAAAGACCGGTGGCCATGTTGGATGAATGAACAAGTTGAATTTCATCCGAGATGGCCGCTTTGATGTACATTGCAAACGTAGAATCGTGTGCATTCGTGACTTAGTCAAGGTGACGATATACTTTCTCTCCTTAGCCAAATCAAAACATACAATCCAGATGCTGACTCAACAATTGGCAAATCACCAAAGAAGCGAAAACATTCAGATATGAAGTCAGAAGAGGATGACGAGGTGAAAGAGAAAGCTGTWGAGAAATCTSMATCAGAAGAAGGTGCATATATATTATTATTATTATTATTATTATTATTATTATTATTATTATTATTTTTTTAATAGATGTTGCTTTCTTGTATTATACATGTATATGTACTCGTACAGTAACACGATATAGAAATGAAAGAAAGTTATAGTGCTTAGAAGGAGGCAATTCCGGGAGAAAGTCCCTTAGGAATAAATTCGGGAAAATTAATTTCCGACCTCGCTGGGATTCGAACCCACGACCTTCGGATTGTACACCGATGCTCTACCAGTTGAGCTACAAGGCCAGACTGGGAGCAGGTCGGGGTGAAGTAGATGTTAGGTTGCGGTAATAGAATAATGTAAAGATATGAATATAAAGACCGCATGGCACTATGATGGTACGGTTTTTTTTCGTAATGACCAACGTGTTTCGATTTGAACAGAAGAACCTTCACCAAAAAAAAGTAAAAAAGAGAAGAAAAAGAAGAAAGAAAAGCAGCGGAAAGCTGAATCTGATGACAGCGATGAGGAGGTAACATTTGTGTAATGGATTTTTGTTCTCTGTGTCATCATCTACTCTGTACTTACTTCTAGAGTACGCTATTTTTACAGAAGGAAGAAAGCCCAGAAAAGAAAAAGAAGAAGAAGAAAAAGAAGCAGAAAACCGAAGATTCTGACTAAAGCTCTGATTTGTTTTTTGAAATGGCTTTAATATTTTCCTCAATGTAACGTGCTGCACTTTGAGTCTCCACTGTTTTTTGAAGCTTGCGCATGTTTTCCTGGCGTTCGACTTCTGTCATGGTCAAGGCCATGTATAAACCATTCACAATACTCTGCACTTTGTAAGGCTTGATCTGTTGAGAAGAGACAAAAGATTTTTGGAATTTCTTGTTAAAATGTGGACTTATTTTACATTATAAGACATAAATACCTTCACGGCTTCGTGTAATGTTTTGGCTGCGCCAGCAAACTCCGACAAAACAAGTACACCAGGCGAGTGACTTGATTGGCTAGCGATGTACTCCATGGCAACAAGGYTCAGTCCGTCCCTTAGTGGTGTTACTAAGGCAACCCTTGCTTTCCTATACAAAACAGCCAGATCTTGCCGCGAGACCTTTTCCAATACCATGTCTATTGACGACGAGAAACCTTCCTGGTAGAGCTCATTGTTAATCCTGTTGACATGATTATATAGATCGCTCTGAAGTCGTTTATAGCTCGCGTTCTCGCTCCTAGTGGGCACAGCTATCTGGATGTAGATCAACTGCTTGTCAAGGTTGGGGAACTGTCGAAGGAKKGTTTGAAACGCTCGAGTTTTCTCCAAAAGTCCCTTCGTGTAGTCAATGCGGTCGACCCCAATGATTAGCTTTTTGCCTTTGCTTGATGTACACAGATCTTTCAGTCTAACAGGACATTCCTATAAATATAATGTGAATGTCATTCAGCGCTTGTCCACTTGAAAACCTCTCTTTGTTGTGCATAATTTGTCTTTCTTTTATCTCCGATTCACAACCACAAATGTAACGTCATAAACGGAAAGTGTGTAATTTGATGTAAAAACTTTCCAAGGAAAGAAAAAAAAAAAAAACTTGGACAAAGCTAAAAAGTCGTAATAGAAGTAATGTTTAAAGTCCGACGCCTCGGACTGGAAGAACTAATTACGCGGACTTGAAATCTCGTCCAGTACTTAAACATTACGTAACATCGTATTTGGACGCCATTACCTGGGATAAGACCCCAGTGCTGTAGGACGATACAGTTTTGTAGGATATTCCAGCTGGAATAGCTCGAACCAGTATCTCACGGTCTTGGAAGTTGACCTTTATTGTYTTGAGGTCGACACGACAATCCAGGAGTTTCTGACAGCATTTTAGGAAATTGAGGCAGTATTCTGTAGTATGGAATGCTATTACATTGCTGCCTAAAAAGAAATGGATATTCGAATAAGCTTAAGAATGTTAAGGCGTTGCGACCATGTTTTAACTTTCAAATGTTTTCAAATGAAACGCTGTTTTACTAGTTTTAGTGTGCCTTTTTCAGCAGCCAGCCCCAGGTTTTTGCAACCCTAAACCGGCTATTTTTGTAAACCGCAAATATATTTTTTTGTGGCGTACCTAACATTCCTTTCAATATTTCTTCAAAATGTTCAAGTTTCTCGAAAGTTTCTTGTTTTGGAAATGGTATATGAAGAAAAAATCCAATCTTGATTTCCTGGTCTTGAGACATCATCTAAAAATAATAGATGAACATTTTCGATCATTARCGAATACTCGCCAAGTTGAAGAGCTATAAGTGTATAAATGACAAGGTTATACCTGCCTGACAAGTTTTGGGACCAGAAAGAGTTGAAAGTCATGTATCCAAATTAGTGACTTGTGGTCTTTTCTGTTGACGCTTTTCAGAATTTCCTGAGCAAAGACCTCGTTTACTTCTTTATATCCCTTTAAAGTTGGAAAAAAGAAGCCGAGAAGATATGATGTGCGCGGGATTTGAAGATTTATTTAATTCGATTTTAAGCAAAGTGAATTTATACCTTCCACACTTCATTAGGCAAGTTTTCGACATACTCCAATTGCTCGTGAAACGTAGGCCACAGTTTTTCATTGGACCAACAGCGGTGTGTTTTGTAAGAACGCTCCGGTATTGGCACGGGCCTTATCTGATATCCAACAATGATATTGATGTTAAGTTAGTTGATGATTTTGGAAATCATTGTTGGGGGGAGGGGGTTATGAATTATAACATGCTGGGGATAGTTATATAATGTATCCAGACAGATGTATAAACTTTGGCCAGGTCCCTCATGAGCTAATAAATGCCCGCTTATAATAGTAATAACAGCAAAGGATTCATTTATTTTTAGTAATTATGCCTGCGTACAAAGTTTATCTTTTTAATGTTTTTAACTATTGACATGAGATTCAAGAGATAAAAGAACGGCGGCCATGTTGGAGGAATAAACAATAGATACTAATGAGAAATCCTTTGTTGAAGTTCCTCCAAGATGGCCGCTGTGACGTAACATGAAAACCAAGAGTGCAATAAATACAAAAATATGCACGCTCACCATACATAGAACAATGCCAACGACATTGAACCTATATAGATAAGGATCATCAAAGTCCATCGACAATAATTTACTTCATCTCAGCCTTTTGCATGAAACGGTCGCATGGAACTAATTCCGCCATACTGGATGGCAACAGAATGTAAACAACCCGTCAAAATTAAAGGAACGCGGCCCGTCAAACTTGACTTTTCTTTATTTTGAACATCCCGGTGGGAATTGTGCCATCCAGCATGGTGGATTTAGTGCAATGTGAACGTTTATGCAAAGGGCATATTGTACATTAATTATGTTTACGGAATACAAAATTATCCTTTTGACGGGGAAGGGGTTGGGAGGGTCAAGAGAACGAGAAGTGTTCTATAAGGCACAACATCAGTAGTGATTTGGGTCTCACTTTTCAAGATGGCGGACGCATTGTTCTCCGAAAGTCCTGATGCATCTATAGCTAAACTTCAAGTAAAAAAGGAAAATATGTTATCTTACACTTTCTTTCTTCGCACGTAATCTTTGAGCCTCTTCCAGGAATGAAGGACTTTTAACCAATCCTCCTATCCATAAAACATTGTGTTCGCAATCTTTAGTTAAAACGTTTTGCAGCACTGTCACTAGACCTGAAACACTGAAATATTTAAGAGAGCTTAAGCGTGGATTTCACTAGCGCATAAGCTTAGGCATAAACACGAAGCACGAGAGTCATATGCGCCAGTGAGAACGGGCTCAAAATAAGCATRAGCATGAGCACAAGAAAAACKAGCAAGGCTTGATCTTCTTGTGCTTAGTACCTCATGCTTATGCTCAGTGAGAACGAGACTGCATAGGCATAAGCATAGCCTGGTACCGAAATAATACTCTCGTGCGCACGCTCAATGTCTTATGCTTATGTCGAGCCCGTTCTCATTGGCGCATATGATTCTCATGCTTGTGCTTATGCTATGCTTATGCGCTAGTGAAATCCACGCTTAAAGCATGACGTCCACGGCAAACTGCAAACGACAGAAAAGATCACGTGAGAGTGGGTTATTTTCGGGTTGCCATAATCGTGAAAAGTCGCTCTTTACAATAACTACCTAAAGCACAAAGTCAGGCACGAATTTCTTAGGTCATTGGTTCAGCTCTGCCGTTTGCCGTAAACGTGATGCTTAAGCTCTCCGAAAATTAAGTATTGGGAGCCTGAGAAGTATGCATTTCCATACCTACGATTAAAATTTCGGGCATGACAAGGAATCCGGTGCGTCAAGTTCCGGGTTCCGGATTCCATGAAAAATTTCGCAAGGGTTCTGGATTCCACCATCAGTGGATCCAGAATGCCATGAAGCATCCTAGCTTGGTGGGATTCCGTTTCCATTGCCGTCCCAGAGCCAYAAACTTTCAGGATCCGGATTCCGTGTCATGCGGCGAAAATTTCCATGGTTTTCTATGTATTGAGTGATGACAGAGTTTATTAAAATTGAATTAGCAAAAGAGTAAAACTTAAGTACCACTCTACTACTTTGATATCACCATGATCTCGAACTATCTCGTATGGCAGACGATTTGCCACTATTACCACATCTTTCGTATTGTCTTCAACAACAGACATTTTAGTTGATCAAACGATTGTTTGATCGTGTATTTCTGCGGTGAAAGAAGAGAGTGTAAAGATTAGTTGATCATATTTATATCTTTTTGCGATGTGATAAATTTATGACGTTTAATTTATTCAAACTAGTCTG